GAAATGAACTGCGCTCCCTCTTCACAATTATCATTTGAACTAAAACTGTGTATAATGTGGTGTGTAACCGTCATACAAGTCCCAAATAAAATTCTCTAAAAATTTAGTGGCATGTACGGGGATGCATATGATATGTAAATAACGAAGAAAACGTTGCCAGACCTTTTTGCGGGTCTGGTAACGTCAATTTTGGACTGGTTACGTCGGTATACCTATGCGTTTCGGGTCTGTATAATCGGTTGAATAAATATATATATATATATATATATATATATATATATATATATATATATATATATATATATATGAACTTTGAAAATTAAGGCAATTATATCGAGAACAAGTTTAATCAAATCTTGCCCAAATACTTTCGCTTAATATAGCATCTTCAGGGGCATCTGAAATAAGCCAAAAAAACGCTTTTTAGATGAAGCAAATTAATTAACTTAGATAAAAACTCGAAGTTAATGGATGATAAAAGATTTTTGTGATTAACGTTTTAGACTTACTTCGTCAAATATGGACTATCCAGCAAGCGTAGAATGTAATAAACATAGATGATAACATAAAATTGTATAAACACTACACTAGAACAAAGGACAAATAGTTTAAAATTAATAAAAAAAATTCTACGCTACATTCTTTGGCGGTAACAGGAGAGAAAATGGAAATGCTAAGGTGACACTTATTAAAATTCTGTGTAAGTAAACTGACACTGTCAATTGAACCTGAGCAAGCTAGTTGTGTAAATTGTTAAAGAATACAATAGTAATGTTGATCAAAGCACGAAGTTAATAAATTCTTAATGGATATACTCAGTGCAGGAAGTCTAAATTCTTAATGGATATACACAGGGTCCACTGCGAGGTTAAGCTGCAATAAAGTTTTTAAAAACAGGTTTAAATTTAGTACAATTTAAATTAATTTGAGTGTTAAGACAATGAGAGTTTCCATTCGTTTCCTTTGTGATCTCCAAATCTTCCAATAAATTCAACTTCTACCGAACTGTAAACTTATAAATAAATATGTTTATATAAGGCGACGAACCAAACGATGAACGTCTGGAAGAAATAGTACGAAAAGTAGTTCGTAACACGATGGGGAAGAGACGTAAGCCCAGATGTTGGAATTGTGGTGACGTAGGTCACATTCGCCGTAATTGCAAGAAAATGATACAATAGTCGGAAAACTAGAACGGGTCGACACCAACGGGCCGCCTCGAGAAACACAGCCCCCATAGTAACTGTGAACGTCCTTCGTTGGAATGTATAACTTGTATATCGAGAGTCGTATCAATAATAAATATAAATCGTTTTTGGTAGATACAGATGCAACAAGAACTATTGCACGGCCAGAAGTAATACAAGGCCATCTTAAATTATCGCCTACAACAGTAAAGCTTAGAACAGCAACTGGTGAGATAATTAATACATATGGCAAGAATAATATGTCTTTATAAAGACAAAGAATTACTTGTGACGTAACGATATCCGGTAACAGTGAGAAAATTTTGATAATCAGACCTGATGGTTACTGCCGAGGGGGAAGTTTAAGGATGGTCGAAGATGTGAACAAAGCCGAGCTCCTAACGGCAAAAGCTTTGGTGAGAATTCGAGATGTCGTTTCTGTAAGAGTTATGAATTTAAAGAGAACTGCTATTAAGTTAAGTAAAAGAACTTAACACAGTGTGTTCCCGTGGCTTCGGTTTGTTCTATGAATACTAATAAGAAATCATCGAAGTCGAAGTATCCAAAAGAGCTTGTTGAGACGATGATTAAAACGTGCCAAGCTCTTAATGATGAACTAACTAAAAAAGTAAAGTATATTATAGAATTTCAAGATGTTTTTGCCATTGATAAGAAGGATAATGGCAAAACAAGCATAGTAAAGCATAAAAGTAATACCGGAAACGCTCAACCAATCACACAACAACCTAGACAATTTCCATTTGCGAAAAGAGATAGAGCCGAAGACATCATCAAAGATATGAACATACAAGGGGTAATTAAACCATCAAACAGTCCATGGACATCACCAGTAGTGCTAGTAAAGAAGAAAGATGGTTCAACACGTTTTTCTATTGACTACCGACAGCTTAATGTGGTAACTAAACAACATAGTTATACTTTACAATACCGTCTTATACAGACAACGAACTGAGCTCGAACCGCAGTACTAATCTGGAAAGAGCTCCAGCCCGGGTCTTTGAATATTGATCAAATATTAGGCGTTCCAGTAGTTCTATCCGGCGTACTGATCTGATAAGAGCTATCGCTTAAGTTTGAGTATTTATCAAAGACCAACCGTCCTACCCGTCTGCTCTCGAATATTGATCGATTGCTTTTGCTGCTTGTCCTAGACTAAGTATTGATTAGTCTTCCCTGGTTTTGGATATTGACCAAAACATCGTCATTTGTCTCATTCATCTTAGTATCGTCAATATTTATTTTTCACAGGTATCAACAGCAGTTCACAGCGTTGTCGATTTTATATACTAGGCATTTTTATTTTATTGTACATACTATATAGAAGTTTATTATATTTTTTTTTTTTGATTTATTAATATACTAAGTCTTGTGTCTAATAGATATTACGTCATATATTTTTGTATTTGTGATATATCTCATAGTTGTACCTCCTCCTTAAATTCGTTTTCACAGATGCCACCAAATATTTCTCTGATAATCCTTCGTCCAATTATGAGCAATAGGTTTTTACCTGTCTTGAAGATGATCCATATGTCAGCACTGACAATATAAGAGTTTTGGATATTGTTGTTTTTATTTTCTGTCTTAAGTTTCTAGTTTTTGTGTTTGTCATTCACATCACTGACCCTTAGTATGCGAATTTACCTACAACTTTAAAAGTAGAGTTATTCACAATGAATTGGGGACCGATGTTGCTAGCTTTGTTGTTTGTCGTTGTTGCCATTATTTTGGGATTTATTTGTAGGCCCATAGTTTTTTAGGCATTTGAGAAACTTGAGGTGTACATTTCTTCTAGCTTGCCTTTTGTACAAGAAATTGGATCTAGATTATCTGCATAGGCCATAATTTGTGAAGATTTGTTAAAAATATAGTTTATCGAGAATGTAGAATTCATCCATGACTTTATAAAACTTGCTTCGAAACACACTATTATGAGCTAATTTTAACTCTAGGAAAAGGTGGTACCTATCGATATTGAATTCATTGTTTTCTTCCAGTATCTGCCTCAGCACAAAAATCGTGTTCATTGTTGACGGGCCAGACCTAAAATACTTAGATATTTACTCAAAGTACGCACTTAGGCCATCATATAAAATAAACGAAAATATTTTGTGTACTGTACTTTTTCGATATTAAATTTTGGATGTTTTTATTGTGGCTAACAACTCTTTACCTTTTTGAATTCTTAACCTGGCATCTGATTTTGTTGCTCTCAGACAACACTTCATCTTTATAAGCACCTAAGTCAGTTTCTACTATATTTAGGTGTTATGTGGCAATGTTAAATGTAAGCAACACAAGTCGTGTTAGTTATATAAAACTGGTGGCGACATCTAACATTCAATAGAGCTAAGTATTTGAAAAAAATAATTTGAGTACATAGGATACCAGTAGAGGTCTACGTGTAAGTGGGTGTGTCATGTATTGCCAAACGTTTGTTAGGAGAATTCTGTGGTAAGCTTATATATATATATATATATATATATATATATATATATATATATATATATATATATATATATATGTTCGGAAAGATTTCCGCGGTTAGTACAATAAAACCTAGAGCTACGATTAATATTATTACTAAAATTAATATCAAACTCACCAGTCTTCCGGGTTGAACCGCGTCGGTATCCATTTTGCCAAGCTTTCGGCATCCTCTCTGATGTCTTCTTCAGGGCTTCCGAAGTCTCAGTCTCCCAAGCCTCGGGAGACTGAGTACTGTACTATACTGTCAGTTATAGTGTCAGTGCCGTGAATAGTGAACAGTGTAGTAGTGTCTGGGGCTCGGGAGACTGAGACCTCGGAAGCCCTGAAGAAGACATCAGAGAGGATGCCGAAAGCTTGGCAAAATGGATACCGACGCGGTTCAACCCGGAAGACTGGTGAGTTTGATATTAATTTTAGTAATAATATTAATCTTAGCTCTAGGTGAATCCAATCACACTCTAGGTCATCGCAAACACTTCCGAAATAACATACTTTTTCTCCATTTTGATGTTTATGGGAGTATTACAGCTGGCAGCAATAGAAGATTACTGGGCCACTTCTTTAAGAATTTCTCTTGTCAACTAGCTAAATATTTGTCCAACACTGGAAAGATTAAAGTAAAGCAAAGCCGTCCATCAAGTACAAAAAATACAGATAACCTAATTCTCTATCATCTTGCTGTAACACGTGATGATATAACCAGAACAGATGCGTTAGGTCACTGGCCACTTTATGTATAAAAGATGTAGATGTTGTAAAACTGGCCACCGGGAAAGGTATTTTTGATAACGTCATGAATTTTATTTTAAAGATGGGAAAAATCGCTATGTTGAAAGAATTCTCTATTCTATTAAATGTGTATAAAAAATATTGCAGATCGTTTTCATTACCCGCTAGTAGTACTTTTTTGTGGTAGTACTGCGTCGTCGGTAGAACATAAGATATTAATTTCATTAACACACATGTTGAATCCTATCATTTTAAGAACTTTAATTAGTATTTCATGCAACTGGATTGGTTTCGATTATATTGATTTTTAAATTCTTTACTTATCTTTATTTGGATTTAGTTTATCTGCACTTAAATAGGGTAGCTCCAGGATTATATATGCAGTACCAGTAACCTACGTCGGAATACGATCATTTATTAAAGTATGGTTATTTATTGACATCTATTATCACAATATCGTTAAGTATAGTTTAAGTTAGCTTTACATTATTTACCATTTTTATAATCTTTTAATATAAACTAAAGTAATCAAATTAGTTCATACAAATTTTATTGTAGCAAATCTATACTTACTGATATTTATCTCTATGTTTCCATCCCCTTTTATAGGCACTACAAGCAGCTTTCCATCGACGTTGTAATGAGCTTCAATTCTTAATTTAGGAATTTCAATAAATAAAACGAACTCATGATTATCTATACGAACGCTGAAAGAAAAGAGAAAAATATGTTTTTTAATGAAATAAAAATGAACACTGACAAAGTTAAAAAAGTAACTTAGTTCATTAAAAAATTGATAATAATTACTTAAGTCTTGAACAAGTGGAGCTTTAAGTTGGCTTAAAAAAGTGAAAGCGATACAAAGATTGTAATAAAAAAATTCAACAATGACAAATTCATAAAAATACGAACTTTACAAAACTATTATTTTACCGGTGGGTTGGAAAATTTTGAAAAACTTTTAAAATCAAAATTTTCCGATATTGGGTTGAAAATCTCAGAAAAAGAATTCACTCGGGGTATCCCCGAAAAGAAAAAAAATCTCTTAAACAGTTATTAAATCAAAAGTTTGATAAAGATTGGAAGAAATTACAAGAACTTGACTTGTATCGGGAATTGCTTAATGGCAAAAGTTCAAATGAAAAGGATGAGGAGGAAGAGAAAGGGGAGACATGTGACTCCCTGGAAGAGGACTTTGATCAAATTGTTAAATACTTATAATAAAAATAATTTTCTACATTCTAGTTTGTTTATTTTCTTTTACTAGAAACAAAAATATGATGCACTTGCAAAGATCTTTCAGGTAAAAACCGATAAATTTCTGTTTTCAAGCAAAACCCGATAAATTAAAAAAAAATCAAAAATAAAAACAGTAAAAAAAGATAATACATGTATTAAAATTTTAGAATTTTATCACATGACTTCTACTATCTATTTACAATAATATGATGTTTCTTTAAATTGTTAAGGGATTTTGCCCTACACGTTTTTGGCTTTTATCTCAAAATTAGAAAAAGTGGATTTATCGGTTTTTGCATGTATGCTCCTCAGTTGTTGTGTATTTTTCGTGTTGGAATTTTATTTTGGTTTTGTACCGTTGTACGTAGTAGTGATTTTTGCTAATTATAATTTCCTTTCTCTTGTTCTTGTTCTTCTTGTTCTTCTTCTTCTCCTTCTTTTTGTGTAGACATAACTCTGTCTGTTTTCAATGTGCCTCCAGTAAGTTGTCGTTCCATCGTTTTCGTGGTCTCCGTACTAATCGTCTTCCTATTGGAGAACCGTCTCTTGCCGTCTTTACTACTCTATTTATTATCATTCGGCTTATATGATCGTTTCATTCTACTCTTCCATTTCTTACCCAGTTTTTGATCTGCATCTTGCGTCTACGTCGTTTATTTATATTTCTAGCTCTGTCCCATAGTGTTTTCCCATCAATTTTTTCAAGTATTTTCATCTCTACTATTTCTAACATTATTTTTGTCATCTCTGTGTCAGGTTGTGTTTCTGCCACGTATGTCAGTATTGGTCTGACGACTGTTTTGTAAATTCTGCTTTTCATTTCTTTCCCGATATTATTATTTCTCCAGGTTGTTTCATTTAGAAAGCCTGCGGCTCTGTTTGCTCTATTCACTTGATCTTCTACTTCAGTTTCAAGTTTTTTGTAGCTGGATAATGTGATACCTAGATATTTAAACTCCATCATTTGTTTTATGATCTGCCCTTCCAGCTCCAATTTACATCTTAGTATATTTGCTGTTGTAACCATGCATTTTGTCTTTTTTAGAGAAATTAACATGGTAAATTTTTTGTCGGTTATATTAAATTGGTGCAGTATACCTTTCGAGTAACGAATATTACTGATCATGGGCTGCGGAACTCAAGATCCGACAGGGGAAGGAATACACAATCAAACCACAGGGCTTTCCAGGTCGCTAGCCAGCGATATCCCTGTGAGCAAAACATCACTAGACATACGATGAATTCTCACTATCAAGCCGATTGCAAATTCAAAAGATTAAAATCACCATCTAAAATGGCCAGAATTGAGAACAAACCGAATAAGAACTGGGGTGGCTCCAGTGAAAACTAATTAAATAAAGTGAGGTCTTGAATGCGAAATAGATAAAAATGCGAATGTGGTGCCATACAGAACATGGAACATATATTGATTTGCCTCAACTGCCCTGCGATCTTAATTTTCCTCTTACTTAAAAAGCAGAAATAGCCCAATACTAGAACAAAAAATTTGAAATTCCGGAAACGAAAAAATAAAGTACGGGGTACGTAAAAAAGGGTTCCCTATGCCGCCGAGAAAGAATACGGCGTGCTGAGAGAAATATGGTAGCACTGCCTTACGCATCAACTCTCTCTGTCTTTTACTAAATCACTCTTGCGACGCTGAATTGCTCAGTGCCTGTTAGGCAACCTACGAAGATGGAAGTCTTGATCGTTGTTACTGCCAGCTGCGAGATTTGTGCTGTGGGAGCAAGTTTATGGGAAAAATTGCATATCTATTCAACATATACTCAAATGGTACTGAAAATTTAAAGAAGTCCCAACGAAAATTCACGATCAAGTTCAGAGCGAAAGGCCTTTAGTTTCAGACAAAATTGTCGAAAAAGTTTAAAGAATGTTGCTTGAAGATCGGAGGTTCACTATTAACTACCTTACTTTGCGTATTCCTGAGACTTTCCATACCACAATTCATAAGATATTAACAGAAAAATTGTCCAATGGTGTTAGGCTTCTCCATAACAACACTTGACCTCATGTTGCACATCAAACTAAACAACAGCTGAGAGATTTTGACTGGATTGTTGTGTCCTACCCCCGCGATAGTCCGAACATAGCACCAAGTGATTGTCACTTATTTCCAAAATTAAAAGAAACACTTGTATGGCTTACGCTTAAGTACCGATGCTTAAGTCAAGGAGAAGGTTATTCTCATTTCTCAAAGAATTAATGGTAGAATTCTAGGAATCTTTTTTCTTCTTCCTTTTTATAAGCAATTTTGCTTGTTTATTGGAGGATTAATACCTCTATGGAAGGTTGTCACTCCATCTTTTGCGCGGTCGTCCAATAGGTACTTCTTTTACCAATTGGTAACTTATCTCTTGCTATTTTGACGACAGTGGTCTATTCCATTCTGCTTATGTAGTTATTATATTCTTCTTTTATATATTGGGTCCATTTATTTATACACCGTACGTTACATTTTCTTCTAATGCCTTCATTTTTCTTTCGATCTCTCAGCGTAATTCTTCTCAGTACTCTCTTCTCTGCCGTTTCCAGTAGCCTTTACGGCTGAATCGGGTCTTGTTTCTGAGGCATAGGTTATTATTGATTTTAATTCTATAACATGGGGATGAAAAGTTGGAGCATCGTCTGCAAAAATGTTTGGGCAACATCTAATATACGATTATAAATATAACACTAAGCACAAAAATAAAGCTTACTATTTTTAAAATTCAGAGGAACCTTATTTTACGAATGGCTCTTGTAACTGTATACTGGTGGATAGTCGAACGATTCTATAAGAATAATTCCAAGATTGCAGATGTTTACATACATGCATATGTTTTACTCTTTTATTTATACTATTAAGGTAGAATTACTAACATTGTTTGATGCCGTATGATATGAGTTCTATTTTCACTATAAGATGAAAAAGTATTGCTGAGATTGCAGCTTCGCGAGATTCCTGACAAACTACGGAAGTCGAAATCTGTCCTGTATATCTGTGTACACTTAATGATCCATAACATAGATATAAGTAAACGAGCTTCTTACGCTAAAAATTAGGTATGACAAACACAAAAGAAAATAACTCATAACTCAAAAACGATTTGTTTTATGCATTAGTTTCAAAAATCACTGTATACTACTTCTGCTACCTTTACATTAAAAACTGCATATCTGAGTAATTTTTCAAGGATCCACAAAATCAGTTTCGTAAAGTTTGCAATGATGCATAAAATCTATTTTATTTTTAATTTCGTATTTGTTATGTCTCATAGAACTTATTTAAAGAAAAGTTGATTGTACTTACTCCATTGACCTAACAAAATAGTCAGAACATCCCCAAGCACTGACATTCGAAACCGTGATTTTCATCCCTGCTGCTTCCTCAGAGAAGAAATCTTTCATAAATAAGTGGCTCTAACTTAGGAATATTGTATTCGGGAACCCCTAAGACAAGAACAAATGTTATGTGGTTTACAGAAATGTTGTACAGTTTTGGACTTACCGTCTACTAAAAACGGTCTCACGTCTTCTACTGCTGCCATTAAACATTGTACCAAATTTGGGTCGCTTTTCTGACACACGTGTATAAAAGAGGCTAAAGAAAATTATTATTATATAAATAAAAACGTAATATTAAGATAAATATATAAATAATTGAGTGGCTTCATATCAAAGACGGACATGTGTCATGCAAGAAAAATTGAAATAAATTTTTTTGTACACAGCTGCTACTGTTCTTTTATTATAAAAATCCGACTTCCTATAATTTTAGTAAAAGCTTCAAAAGTAATCTTGTAAACATTCTGATATCAGAAATATATGAAATTATTATAAAATTATTATTTGAAAATACAGATGTCCGCTTTTGGAACAAAAATGGGTAAATATCCATGTTTGATCCAAATGTGATAATAAGTGTCCGTTTTTGATTTAAAAAAATATTGTTTTTGAAAGAGTGAATCCTAGGTTAAAATGTTATGCTTATAACATTCATATAGGGAATCAGGTATTCTAAATGAAAATTCCACTTTTAAAATCTTTTATTCAAGTTGCATCAGTAACGATAGTGCAATCACTCCTAACCATGGAGCTGTGCGAAGGGGAAGTCAAAATTTACATTAAGGCAGAAAGGTTCTATTGTAAGTGGAATTATACAGTGCATAGTATAGTGCGTTTTGCATGAAAGTTGGGACTAAATCAAATTGCAAGTAAAATGGTTTTGTACTACTGCAAAGTATCATTCTCCCTCCAATTTACTCCAAACTGTTTTTCAATCAATTTTGCTACCTCCTTAATCTTTCGGCATTTAGAGTCACACCGATAAGAATTTGTTTTGGGTTAATCTGTCCAATAGTGCAGTTGCTCTCACAAATTTTCCTCTCTGCACCAGTGTCAAGGTTGTAAGCTATCTTTCCTTTCGCAATGATATTTACCAATTTAGTTTTCCGAAGAACTATTTGTCGGCAGGTGGAAATTTTAAAAGTTGAGCCGCTGTTTTCATAAAACTTTTCGCTTCTTGTTTCTAGTCCAACGGTATTCAATCCCTTCCAATCAACTAAATCGTACCATATTTCTTAAAAATTTCATGATATTCTTGGAACAAATAACAAGAACAATTCAATAAAAACCACTACTAACTAAATTTTTATTTTTTTGACACATGTCCTTCTTTGATCTGAAGCCACTCAGTTATAGGTAAGAATTTTTAAAAATTAATACATATTTAACTCAATTACGCATAAAAAAATCAAATTGGTTTTTTTATTTTAGGTGTTGTTTATTTATCAACTTTTGTTTCGTAGTCATAAGTGATTTTGACAAGAGCTATGGCCTTGTAAATATCAGGTAAACTTGTGTACTGTATCGGCATGACTCATAGCTCTTGTCAAAATCCATTACATCTAGTTCTGTACGTTGTTCTCCCATTTTTTTATACTTGGAATCTTATTTACCAATATGTTAAATTAACTTATATAAAAATTATAAAATTACCACAATTACTAATTATCGGTAATGGATCGTGGAGACAGTGTGTGTTACCGATGCTATAAAATTGTTACCAATATCCACTGAGTTAGGTGGATACTGCTAACAATTATAATAAATATCATAAACAGGTTGGAACACCTAGAAATGGAAGGCAACTTTGCCAAAAAATCTTACCCTAACGTCGCTGAAGACTTATGTCCATATAACCACTGTGTGGGTTTTTTAATATTAAGTGTCCAATTTTTCACATGCGAAAAACAATGATATATTTCTCGCTGTGTAAATTTTATATTCTTAACCTAATTATTTAAAATCACTACCTTAATCCAACGTTTAGTTCATACAATTCCTTCTACCTAATGTTAATCCCACTCCTTTAGGGATATAGACAGTTTTAAAATAGCAAAACAAAAAGGACTCGCTTTTATCTAGTTGAGCCCCTCGATAATGGACGTTTTTACACCCCTCTCTGATTTTTGTTCCGGTAGCAACGCCATACACTCAAGGACATATGACAAGAATAACAATATGCAAAGAGTGTGCACAAGAACGAGGCAATTATCAGCGGGGAAGAGGAAATAATGAAAAGGGGCAAGGAATATTTTCAAGAGCACATAAACCCAAAAAAGAACAAAACCAAGAAGAAATAATAACTAGTTGAGGAACCAACATTGAAAGAAACTATATGCGCCATAAAATATCTGGAAAATAGCAAAGCGCCTTACACAGATGGAATAACTACAGAACTGATAAAGAATGGTGGACATATGCTATGGAAGCATATCCCTAAACTAATCTGCCACATATGGATACTAGAAGTCATCCCAGAAGATTGGAAAGTAGGAATTATTTTTCCTATGTACTAGGGGAAGACAAACGACTCTGTGAAAATTATAGGGGCATAACCGTGTTAAATATTGACTTCAAGATATTATGAAGAATGATATACAGCCGTCTTGAATCATTTTCGGAAGAGATAATTGCTGAATACTTATGTAATTATAGACTAAAGAGGTCAAATATAGACTAAATATATATGTTAAGAGGTATTCATGAAAAATGTGCTGAATTTAACATATCTATTTACAATTTGTATATTGATTTTAAACAGGCTTTTGATTTAGTAAATAGACAAAAAATGTTAAAACAACTCTCCATGTTAGGAATATCGAAAAGGTTAGTTAAACTTAAACAAATGAATAAACCACCAAAGAAGAAATGCGAAGATTTCTTGGTTGACGAAACCAAATTTCAGATTTTTGCTTTAATCTGGGCCTTTTATAACTTAAGCACAGGAGGAAGTCAAAATAGACGATGAAAAAGATGTAAAGAAAGACATGGGGGAATCTAAAACTTGGTTTCATGTACTCATAAAGAGTAAACCAAAATAAAAAAAAATGACAGTTATGATTTGATTTCATATATACAGATTGAACGAATTTAAAACGGATCATACAATTTAATATAGGTATGTCTGTTTGAACTGCATTTGAAATAGTGGACCAATATAAAACTTTGACAAAAATAAATCCATACCCGGTGATAGACATTGTATAAAATATCGTTCAACTATCCATCTCCTTTTAGAGCGCACCATAGTCTAGAGCGCAGCCCAAAGTCAATGTTGCCAATCGCCGTGTAATAATCCGATTTGCGGATCTTTTTGAGAGTTATATCTTCTTCGTATCTGTATTTACCAATCTACTACAATAGACTAATAACAAAAATTAACTTAATGGTTTGTAGTTATTTCAGAAGTTTGTATTTATTTTAGAAACATCTAGAGGAATGATATTGGCAACGTCGCTCAAAATCTCCATCTCCGATAAACGAAAGATGAAACGTTTCAACTTCGTTTTTAACTACACACTTGCTTTGATCATATTATAGAAAATCGAAATAGCTTGATTTAGCGAGAATTTTTTAAGAGAGTTTTTTGAATTATATAAAATACAAGAATGCTTATAGCAAATAAAAGGTAAAACGTATCACAATAGAAACGCCCGAAAACAGGCAATGGACATTCTATTTTTAAAGTTCCAAGAAGTAAACAAAGATGCGAATGAAGAGTATGTAAGAAAAAAATTAACAATTTTAGAACATATTATAAAAGAGAATTAAAATTAGCATTGCAGTCCAGTAAATCGGGTGCAGGGGCAGACGAGATTTATTTTGAACCAAAATCTTGGATTCTTTGCACCATAATCTACGTTTTATTTTAGGTTTCTTTTTACGCTTAGTTATACACGAAGTAAGAGACGCTAAAATGATTGTTTGATTTGACATGGTCAAGAACCGAACAAATACTGCGGCGCAGTATGGTGTGTGGGCGCACCAGATATGCTAACAAATTGAACAACGCCTCTGTCCGATTATGTCGAACGACACCGCTGTACCGTGAGTGGCCGGCTTTAGGAAACGATAGGTGGTTTGACTACCTATGAATGAGTTCTTGAATTAGTTTAGAATCCAGCAGCCCGCTGAAGTATTGGATTTTTATACCATAATTATTTGACAACCTTTTGTTGGCCAGCCACCTAGACCGGAGTTGAGCCTAAACACATTATATTTCGTATGTTCCGAATTTAACTCATTCAATCTGTATATTGCCTCTATGTATACGTATATACATATTTCATTCTACCTATACACTTATACATATGTCATCCTACCAGGATTCATCAGCTTGACTGGTACAGAAGCTCAGAGTATAAGAAACCAGTCACTAAACATTTTTGTTTAGATGAGAAGGGTATTGTTCTGGCTCTTCCTCTTCTCCTCTGATCATTAGGTCTATTAATTTTTCTAGTTCGGTCGTTTTGTTCCATTTGCATTACACGCCCTTTCCACTTCAAACGTCCTATCTCAATATGTTTTACAATATCTGGTTCCTGTTATATTCTATAAAGTTGAATCCTCTTCTCCACACCCCGTTGTCATTCACTTCTCTATAGATTCGACTTGGTACTGTTCTTTCAAAACATCTTAACATGTTAGAGTCCAGGTCTCTAAACCATAGTTAGGACTGGGCGCATTATAGTGTTTTAAAGTTTTATTTTTGTATTTTTCAATATTATTGTGAATTTGTTGGCCGTGCAAATTCTGCGGCTTATCTCTTCGGCAGTACTATTTTCGATGTTAAGGAGCGCATCCAGGTCTACAAATTCGTTCACTGCTTCGATAACGTCTATAACAAGTGGTCGTAGGATTTGTGGTTGTTTGCTTATTTTCGTATACTTCGTTTTGTTAGTGGTTATTATTAAACCCATTTTTGTAGCAGATTTCTTTAATGCTACATACGCCTAATTTATTTGGTAATCCTAGCTCTTTCATTGTATTGAACATTGCAACAACAGAGTGTAGGCTGCTTTGTAGTCTATACATATGTAGTGAGTATATATGCCATATTTCAGGGTTTTTTCTAAAATTTGTCTCAGGGCTGTAATCTGATGAATTATCGACTTACCACCTCTGAAACCAGTATGGTATTTTCCTACTATCCGTTCTGCATGTGGTGCCATACGGTGACGTAGTACTGTGGACAATACTTTGTAAGCTGCATTTAGAAGCGTAATGCCATTATCGTATCGTGGCCACCTTCTTATATAGTTCAGCTGGGGGATTATCTATTCCAAGTGATTTGTTTCTGGCTAGTTTTTTAACTGCATGTTTAACTTTAAGAATCGTTGGTGGTTCTTCTTCCCTTTAATCTGTTGACCTTACCTCATCTCTTTTGTATTCCAGGTTTTCTTCTTCTTCCTCTATATTAAGTGCCTGATATTCCATCCTTCTATTCAATACATCTTTTCTTTTTGTTAATAGGTCACCATTCTGACTTTTGCATTGACTTATGGTTGCCTTGAATTCTTTTCTGCTAATGCTGCAACTTTTTTATAGAATGCTCCGAATTTTTTGGTTCTGTTGAAGTTCCCTATATATCTCTTGCTATTTTTGCATTTGTGTCCGTGTATATCGCATTTCCTGCACTGCTAAAAAAAAAGATGTGAGTGCTCCAGTCCGGTACAGGGTTTGGGTATTTCATGTTCCTAATCTCAATTCCATTATAACGCTAATAGTTCCTGAAGTTTCGTAATATATGTCTTTTCACAGAAAGATGTTGTCGGCCTTTAGCCCAACCCCCAACCTGGAGAGCCAGGGACTCTTCTGTTAGGGTTGCCATACCTTAGTCTATTTTGATTCGCGGTTGATATTTTTATTCTCACCTACTGTCCGGTCCTAGGATGGGTTAGGGCATTTCCCTATACACCACCTGTATACACGTCTGATGGGAGACAGACAATTCCACACGGATACTGGAAAATAGGTTGCCGAAATAGGT